CGTTATCTGTAATAATAAAATAACGTCTAGTTATATAATTTTTAATTTGTATGTTTTTAAATTAATTACCGGACCGGTATAGGTCACGCATACAAAACGTTCACCCTATACGGTAGGTCACGCGACCGGTAGGTCACATACTAAACGAATACCTATATATTAGGTAMGCCAAAAATGTCTGTATATACTGATGATTGTCTTACAATGAGGACAATGGTGTATCTACTACTTATATAATTATATAAAGTATAAATATAATAATAATACATCGTTTTAAAGGGCGGTAGATATTGGGACACATTTTATCTACCTGCTCTGTATAAAATATTTGATTACATTTTACAACCCGCAGATTGGGTCACAAATTAAACATACATTTTTAAAGTATATAGGCATCATAGATAATAATTCTTTATTATCTATGATAGGCACACAGAGATTTGAGAGATTGGTCCATGAATGTAAAGCATCAAAATATTCGAACATATAAAGCTTTATAACTAATTTTTTTTCTAATACATAAAAATGTATTATTTTTAGATTATTTTATTTTTAATTTCATTATAATATATAAGGTTAATACAATTAGTCAAATAATAATTATTATTATTTAAAAAATTTTTTTTTTTGATAAGTAACTAAATACGATCTGTAGTCTGTACAATCTGTTTTTTTCTTTACTTATACGCAAAACTACAATTATTTTTTAAATAATTTAATACCGATTTTACAAACCCCAATATATTCTTTTTACCTTCTTTATATATTTTTTATTTCATTGAAAATRTAAATAATATAATTATTTTAATTAAAATTCATTTTCTAGCTTTTCTTGTTATTTGTAATATATGACATGTTAATTTAATAGTGGCCCAATTACCGAAAAAAAAATAAAAATAAAAATCGTTGAAAATATTGGCCCAATCACCAGATGTAGGTACCTCTACCGGCTCTACCTGTTATAAATGTAAAACTAAAGGGTAGAATACGTTTGAGAACGGTCCTAATCGGGCGTACTTTTTTTAATAACACGTTTGAGAACTTTTTACCTGTTAACTTTTATGCAACGTTACCACAATAATTAAAAATAGAAATAAAATATACAATAGATATAATAGATATCGATTATTACTATATTTCTTTGAGTTTTTGGTTACAGAATAAACTTACGTAGAATTAAATTTGATTAATAAAAATAAACACACACTTCATTGTAAAATCAACACTTTTATCACTTATTTGTCAGCTTAAGGCATTTTTTGAAGATTAAAATTAAAAAAATTAATATTTATATACAACATTTTTTTTTTTTATTTGTCAGTTTAAGATTAAAAATTTTAAAAACATCAGTTCAAACCAAAATCAAAAAACTCGTAAGTCTTCGGTAAAACTGAAAAATTGAACGGTCCTAAGCGTATCCTATAAGATCCATATCTTAGCGAGGTTTTACTGTAGGTATTATTATTATTTTCAAACAGATCATTTTTTTATTTGACATAARCAATACCTATATACTGTTTTGCACAATAAGTTTATATGCTGAGAGTAATTAAAAGACATGAAAGTTTTTAATTAAGCAGCCACCCATTGTAGTAACTTTTATGGCTATAGGTATTGATTAGTTAGTTTAACTTATAATATAATTATTGTCTTTAACTTATCATTGATTATTATAATGGTTCTTAAAGATTACATTTTTACACTTACAGACACAATGTAGAGAAGATCTTCTCTACATCGTGTCTATAGACTTTTCACTTTTGTGAAACACTCCCGAATGTTTAATATTTGGGCTATTAGGTATAGGTAATATAATAGTATATACTCCAACGAGTCCAACGCGTGTAACAGAATAATGACCTACCTGACAGATAAGCCTGGTAAAAAAAAACTTGAAATTTATTACAAGGTTCTTCAAAATTTATTCATATACCAATAAAAATATCTTGAAAATACATAGGAACAATATTATTTTAAGTCTTATAAATAATTAGAATTTTTACAAAATTCGTTATAGTAACTATATTGATAAAAAATTATAAAATGTTCAATATTTATAGGTAATAAGAATAGACAAGTAAAAACAATATTGTCCATAACTAGTTAATACTGCAACCAAAAAATCTTAAAAATATATAAATACTATATATACCTTTTTTTAAGTTGAAATTTGGCAATTAAAAAAAGAATAAAATTTTTAGTTATTTTGTTGTAGTTTAAAAATATTATTGTTAAGTAATTGCTCGATAATTTTAAAGCACATAAATCATAAAATAAATGTATAAGTATATGAGTATATTTTAGACACACAATTATATTTTCAAATTTAATGTTTTAGGTAAAAAAATGTCAACCTATATAATACACTGTATTGTCTGCAGTATTATTCATAGTAAAATAAAAATTAATTAATATTACTTTAATAGCAATAATACCATAAAATATACTYATTACTATTATAGTAATATAGACCATTGACATCTAAAACTGCACACTTTTAATAAAGTACAGAACAAAACCGCACATTTTTGGTAAGTTAAAACCACGCACATTTAATAGGTTAAATTAGCAAAATTTTTTTAATTGTTGTATTATCCAAGAACCACTCATTTTTAATTTCAACACCAAAAAGGTTATACTTACCTAGATAAGATATACTCAATAATTTATAATTTACTAAAAAAAAAAAAATGTATTTACAAGTATTCAAATTTAAAAATGTATTAAAACAAAAATACGCATACCTATTATACGCACTAGTATTCTCAAAAATAAAAATTATAAAAATGTATTCAACCAAAAATTAAAAAAATTAAAAATATAAAGCGTGTACAATTTTTAAAGTTTGATTGGCTGAAATCTATTACCGGCATTTTTAAAAACTCTTCAAATGATCTCATCGGCATCATTATTATGTATAATTAAAAATATTTCAATAATTTAATAAAACTGCAAAAAACCACTAAATACCTATAGGTAAGCACTGTATATGCAGTGGCGTACATTCAATTGTCTTATGGGGGAGGGGGATTGAATAATATTATTTATACATGTTTATCAGAGTGCTCCACCCAGGCACCCAGACCCAATGCAATATATTTTATCAAAGACGAAAGACCATCGTTGTTAAAAGAGTTCACACTCATTTTTGTAATAATTGATATAATTTKAAATACGAGTCACGACAGTACACTAAAGGTATAGTTATAGTCTTTCACACGGCGTGAAACGCAAATGTCGACACTGTGGCGACTACAGCGCGATTCACGCGCGTGAAATGACAATCGCGCGCATGTCTAAACACGCGCGTGAA